GCAATATGACCAAATTTCGAAAACAATGTCATACAACTTCTATACAACCAAACGAGACCGCGACCATACAAATGACTACACCATCCTGGTCTTCATATTTTGGAAAACTGAGTTTAACATGAGTCTGACCCGATTCTAAAGCTGAATAGTGGAATTATTTACAAAAACTAAACGAATTGAATTCGTCCCCATCTAATAGGCAGCAGGAAGGCATATGAAAGCATATGTGATTGCATGTGTTCGCCTGGTCACCTGTGATTTGGACATCGAATTTGGCTGATCTTCTGCCGAATCCAGTCACACCTGAACACTCATAGGTCCCAGAGTCCGCCACCTCGACCGGTCGAACGACACTCAGTACCCGGTGATCCGGTGAAAATTTGAAAAGTGGATCTATGCTGACAAAGTGGTCTGGTAGTTGGTTCACACGCCACTGGTACATGATCTCGAGGCCGGGAATGCCCTCTATACCGGTTTCTATTTTCGTAGGATATAAAGAGTTAACAGAATTAGAAAATTTAAATTAAAATATCTCATGATAAATAGTAAAGTATTATTATTGTTGACATATTATAATATAATATTATTAGGCAATATTTAAATAATCTAACTCTTAGGACTACGAGCCCAGGTATGAGTGACACTTGATGTCGGTTTGATTGGATGAAACGACCAGCCCAATAGGTCAGGAAATTGTACCTTGACCCTTTGTTTAAAAGTTCGCTCAGACTTGAGTAGAACTCCTCTTGGCGTAAGCGAAAAGAAATGTCACGTTAGCCTCTATAAAGGTCTCGAGAAAATTGGTTATTTAGCCCAGCATACTGAGAGCCCCAAGACAGAAAATTTGCCTTTATTCAGCAGAAGGGCAAAAGTGAAGATAGTGAGTGGAAAATCCGAGCCAACACTGTCGCCTGTACTTCAATTCACCCCATTGCCTCCTTATTTGCCTCCTTCCCTCTAACCACAGGCTCACCTGATCTAGTACCTTCTAAGTGGTCTCCTAGTGAGTCGTGGATCGGACACTCGAGGCGCAGCATGTCGCCGATCTGAAGGCGCACCTTGCTGTTGTGGTTGAGCAGGACAGGCACTTTCGGGTCGCCTGACGGTGGAAACCGATGGATTGTGGGGAAAGAGAGAAACACAAGATGGAAGGAAGTGGTTAAGCTGAGCCGGTTGTGTGGAAAATAAATCTGTCACGAAATCTTGTCAGGTGGCCTTCATTGGCTCTTAAGTAGGCAAGCTAATCGTCAAAAATAAATACTATAAGGCATTAAAGTGGTAGTGGTGATAGGGAGTCTGTGCATTTAGGCAAATATAATTATAATACATTAAGCTTTAAGTAGAGCAGAGAATGAAAAGTGATGAGAGACAAAAAGAATTTTCTACAGAGAATAGATTAAATAAGCTGGGTAAATGTGTTCAAGTATAATATAGCGAAATGGCCAAAAGACAAATCAATAAATGATGCACAATTATATATATATATATATATATATATATATATATATGC